CATCCGGAGCGATGCTTAATACAACGAAATCAAAGGGTCTTTGGCTCGGTAGGTGGCGTTCTCGTACTGATTCATCCTGTGGTCTAACGTGGGTTAACACGAGCTTAAAAATTGTTGTATTTACTTGGTTCCGAAAATGAAAAGATCCAATCATGCCAATAGGTTACGGCCAAATTCAAGGGAATATTGAAGAAATGGGAACCACGGTATCTGACGTTACGAGAGAAAATGACGGTGATCGGGAGTTTAGTGGCTTCGACGCTTTGGCATGTGGTAAAGATATACCCGCTAACGCGTGAATGTATTGACTCGCTACAATTGGAAATTTGGAAATTCGTTTGGTCAAAGAAACCGGAGTGGGTGCGTCGGGAAACGTGTATGTCGGACTATTTGAATGGGGGTCTGCGAATTATTAATCTTGACATCAAAAGCAAAGCATTGTTGATTGGTCGTGTCTTTCAATTTTTTGAAGAGAGTGAGGCACCTTGGAAAGATTTCATGCGTTATTACATCGGACGGACTTTAGGCATAAACGATAACTCGAGACCAAATAGTGACATTCCAACTCCGTTTTATAGTCATCTTCCTCGCGTTCTGAGAGAATTTGCTGTTGATTTGGGACAACCTTGCACGAGTAAAATCTATTATCTGAAACGTATTGAAGATTGTGTTACCCCGGTACAAGCAAGAAGCGAGTTAGCTTGGAATCAATGATTTGGTTCTGGTTTACTCTGTAAAGAGATTTGGAAGGATGTCGCTCGAAGTTTCAATGATCCAGTGTTACGTGATTTTGATTGGCGCACGGTACATCGCGTTTTACCTCTCAATTTCAGAGTGCATAAATGGTATTCACGAATATGAACATGCTCACGGTGTGGTGAAAGAGTGGAAACATTAGAACACACGTTGATTCATTGTCCAATGGTAAAGGAGATGTGGATGTTCATTTTGAGATTGTGCAATCGAATTGATTAATCGGTTCTTGGTCTTTCAGAACGGAATATGTTGTTGGGTTGTTTCCCGCGAACAAGAACAAGAGACCTTCTGCGTTACTTGATCAGTGTTGGAAAATTTTTCGCGTGGAAAGAACGATTGTCACATCAGTTCCGGAAGGATGAGAAAATTATTAGTCTTGTGTATTTTGAGAATTACGCGCGAAATCGATTGGAACAGAACAGTGTATCATGGACACGGAAAACTTTGAGTCAAAATGGTGTATAAACAATGTTTTAGCATGTGTTATAAACGGTATAATACGAACTTTGATCTAAAAGTCTATATTTGTGTGACCTAATGTAAATATTTTAACGTAATCTAATGCATGTGAATTGTGTGTAAAATAATTTTGATTCCCGGTAGTGATATACACTATGTGGGGTTTTTAATAAAAATACTCTTACCTGAAGGTAGAGTTTTGACGGGCTCTGAGGTACACGCTGTTGTCTCTTTCTCGACCTAGAGACGTGCAGCGTTTTCTAGTCGAAAAGGAGATGTGGGTCTTGAGTTTTCCTGCAAATTCAAGTCACGAATTCAAGACTCATGCCAAGTCTTGAATTGAAAATGTAAAACGTACAAGGTAACCGGTTATTACTTTTCGTAATAACCTGGTATCCGGTTATTACTAAAAAGTAATAACCGGATACCAGGTTATTACGTATACTTAACAATTAGACAACGAGGCCGAGTTGTCTATGAGCGAATAATCAACGAGGCGAAGCCGAGTTCACTATTTGCTCATAGACAACGAGGCCGAGTTGTCTAATTATTTTAGTATAAACTTTAACATTAATTTACAACTAGGCTGCAAACACAATACAAAAATACACAAAAAAAAATTATAAAACCATGAAAGGTAAACAAATATTTTAGTTTTTGTTCGCGTAAAATGTTTTACAAAATTCAGTTTTAATTTTAAAATTTCATTGAGTGTATATTATTTTGTCTATTTTCTTACCCTTAAAAATTGCCATTCCATATTTTTGTTGCTTTTTCGGTTTTTTTTTAGTACAGAATTGTTCAACAAGTCGTCCAAAAAAATCATCAGACACTTTCCGCCATTTTGAATTTTCTATTAGTAGGCTATCACTAATAGCCTACTAGTAGCGTAGCCAATCAGAAGCCACGATATGTGATAGCCTACTAGTAGGTTTATACTAATGTTTAATAAACGAGCAGGAGTGTTTTATCAGATTTAAATCCACGAGCGCGTAGCGCGAGTGGCTTTAGACCTAATAAAACACGACCTGCGAGTTTATTAAACGGCTTCAAACACGACTATACAAATTCAATAGATATACTGCCTTATTAGTATTCTTTATATAAAGAATACTAATGAGGACACGACTACAATAGATACTGCCTTGTTAGTATTCTTGATATAAAGAATACTAATTAGGAGTGTTTTATCAGGTTTAAAGCCACTGCACGTGACATATTATGGTTGACATGATTTGCCAATAAGCTTATGAATTTTAATGAGTGTTTGAAGAAAAAGTAATAACCTGGTGCCCGGTCTTTATTCTTCCGTAATAACCTTCAACCCCGCATTTCCCCCGGAGAAATCAAATACCACCGCCTGCTTTTGGATTGAAGGTTATTACGGAGAAGTTAAAAACAGACGTAATACAAAAGTCGGATGAGTTTGTAATACACTTTCCCATTCAGGAAGTGTAAGTATAAGTGCGGTATTGCTTTGTTTGAAGAGGTTAAATAAGAGTATTGTTGTACGTATAATGAGCAATAATTTATGACAAAGTTATTATAGTTTGAAATCGATAAATGAACTAGTCAAAGAAGATGCACCGCTGCAGGTAGTTTCATATGCATTACGCACTTATTGTTTTATCACAGAGCGAAGTCGCCCAATTAAGTTTTTGACATAGAGAGAAGTAACTGATGATTTAAAAGAGAGTTTAAGAAACCAACGATTTTACCAACATGGATGTCAGATTGCCGAGATGAGACTGGATTAGAAACTGTGTTTCGTCCGTTTGCAGTAATCTTCAACACATATACAAAACATAAGAATTTTAAAGTGTCTTACTTTCTTACAAGTGCGGGATGACGCAACATGCCGTCAAATAAAATTAGTTACACCAATTTTCGGTTGGCGTCCGTGTTGACAAAAACGTGTACACTAATCAGTACGAGTGCGGTACAGCTTTGTCTTAAGAGCATTTGCGCAATGTATACCTCAACATGCCGACACAATAGTTGTTTTAAATCAATAAATGCATGTACAGGTGCATATCAGTAAAAGTTTTCACATATATTCTTACATACAATTGTTAGACAGAACACGCTTTAAAAGGAAAAACGTGAAAGAATTACACAAGACAAGACATACAATGAATCCAAACACTTTTATTAACACGCTATTTCTGTGTCTTGTAAATGTTTTCTTCATGGTTGCAGGAATATTTCTGAATACTGTGGTTATAATCAGTCTAAGGAGGTCGTCACAACTTCGAAAGAAACTATGCCACTTTATGATTCTTGTTTTATCTAGCTTGTTTTGATCTGGCTGTAGTCACCATCACTCATCCTGTGATAATATTATCAACAATATTCTTGTCTAGGGAAGGTCGTAGTGAACTCCTTCAACAGATAAGGAATCACATATCTGGTAATCTTTATGTGTTTTCCACGACAGCGCTTTTGACCCTGAACATTGAAAGACTTTTGGGCTTAACATTTCCACTTTTCCATCGAACATCAGTCTCCAAGAAAAGGCTTTTAATTTTTTAAGCATTTTCGACAATTTTGGTATCCGGACTGATCACGTCGTTAAACGCAATTAATCTAAAAACACCGGCTAACACTTTGGTAATGGTTTACCTTTCTATTTTGCTCCTGCTGTTTATTTACTTCAACTATAAAATGTTCCTCATCGCCAAGTCAAAATTCAGGGATAAAGATGTTGCTCCCACTACAGCAACGTCGAGAGATGAAGGAAGAAAACAGCACACGCTAAATTTTAAAACTATTTCGACATGTTCCTTGGCGGTTGCCTGTTTTTTCATCTGCTGTTTTCCGCAAATTATATATTCTGTTGTAAATTTGACGTCAGAAACGACATTGCGCGATAGACAAGTCGTATTATTTAGTCTGTGGTCCAACACATTTGTCTCCATGAACTCGACGTTCAACTGTCTCATATTTTTCTGGAAAAATTCGATCTTGCTTCGTGAAGGAATGAAGATTGTGAAGTTCTTGAGGACTGCAAGATCTTAATTTGGTGTCGTAAGGCACAGTTGTTGTATATTACATTGAACGGCAGTTTTATATGCTTTACGGGCTAACAGATTCTCTGTTTGCAAAACTGTTGTGGTTTACTTTACGAAAGTAGGAAAGTATTTACTATTCTAACACAGTTGTCGCATATAGGAATATATATTGCTTACATTTTACGTTGATAAGGGACGGTTAGAATTCTAAAATTTGTATTTGGTTATCCACTTAATAAAATGTTAATAGTATATATTTTGTTTAGTGTATATTTTAGCTGGGTATATGACTTAGAAATAGCGCAATTGTTGCGAAGTCAAAAGAAGTATTACGCATGCAGCTTCAATTTAAATTAAACTAGGGTCATGTGTTGCGTAGTGGTGCCTGAAATAGCTACGTAAACGTGATTTTTCTCCGATAGTGAACCGTGGATTGCGACCGATAGCCACAAAATAGAATATTAATGAGCTGTCAATTTTTACCCAAACAAGACGTTCTATATAGAGCGTTAACTAGCCGGGGCTATACAAATACGCACATTACTGTATATAATGTATACAGTACACAGCTATTTCAATTAAGATTTAAGGTTGTTCCCGAGCTAAGCGGAAAAGTCGAATATGAGCGCGAAAGGCTGTTTAACACATGCAGTACTAAAATGCGGTGCTCTACAAACTTCCGGCGTTCCGTATTAAACTGCGCTTTAAAACGTTCAAAAGAAAATATTTTGGGTCTTTTGGGCTCAAAATACTATCAAAATGAAGAAAGAAGTGAGACGAATCCACTGGTATACGACCCAAAAAGAGAAAACCAACGATACCAAAGTTATCAAGGATCAAACGTACTGCATTTTTTATAATTTGTTTAATAATTTTGAGCGATTTGTCAACAATACAATTTCGCTTGGCTTTCTAAGACAAAGGCCATAAATCGCTAGAATACTGTTTTTTTTATCTAAACTTAAAAAGCCTGGTTGTTTATATGGTATAAATGCATTTGACATCCGTAAGTACAATTGCATTATAAATACAATATCATGTTTCACACTACAGCTTTCACCTTTAAATTTTATATTGATATGACACCAATATGCTTCTCATAAAGTATTTATCTATTATAAAACTAGGTTATGTAGTTTAAGTTATAACCTTTTACCTTGAAATTGTCTTTGGCTCGTTTAGATTCAGATTCAGTATATCATGATCGTGCACGGGAATTTAATAAGGTGGTAGTTAACCCTAAAATGTTTTGAACAATTTTAATTTTTAATTTTTTTTATCGTTTTACATACAGCATAAACTACCATACATTCACTATCTTATGTTTTTACCCGGTATTTTAACTATATTCGTGATGAAAATATTAATTTATTTGGGATTATATTGTAAAATTCTGCATAGCAACGCTTTATGTTTACTATGTTTACTCGTTGTAAACCACCCTTACTAGTA